TTTGGTTCTCAGTAATTTTTAAAGCCATAATTTGAACCCAGGTCTCTATGACTTCAAGATACTGCTTTTCTCTCTGAACTGGCCTGGTTCATGTGAGTATTTGGTGGCCCTGCCGCAGGTACTGAATGAACCTTCTCCAGTGCTTTTCTGGAAAGGCTGAGAAGCAGAGGAGGTGACTTGCCCAGAGTCAGACAGCAGGTGAGACAGATAGCCCTGCCAGTTAATGGGCTCTCCTAGCACCTGACCCAGTGCATTTTCTAGTTACCACAACTATTTCTTGCTCATTAGCAGAAGTCAGGGTTAGGGAAGTAATCACTTCTTTATCTTTGAAACCCCAATAATCCAAATAAGAGATCTGAAAATTAGTCTAAGATTTCATTAGGCCTTTTGCAATAGGGAGCTCTCAGCAACTCTCCATGATTACTTTGAACATGGCCTATCTTCTGCAACTCCCTTTTAGTAGGTTATGTTGATCACACTGAAAAACTAAAACCTATACATTGGATCGATGGAAAAAAATAGCAGTGTATGGATCTGGTTTGCAATCTCCTGCTTGTGAGTGAAAGAAATAGCAGTGTATGGATCTGGTTTGCAATCTCCTGCTTGTGAGTAAGACTGCATTGTGGTTTTCCCAAGCTCATTGTGTTCTCAGCTCCTTTTATCTTCATTAACATCACCTTGGGGCAAAAAGGGTAGCTGCTTTTATGTGCACAGAAATATGGGTGTAGTAAGTGCTATCTGGTAGCGTAGTGGTTACGAATCGGGCTGCGAACCTTAAGGTCAGCGGTTCGAAACTACCAGCCGCTCCGCGGGAGAAAGATGAGGCTTTCTACTCCCGTAAAGATTTACACCCTCGGAAACCCTATACAGGGTCGCTATGGGTCGGAACCGACTCGATGGCACATAACAACAACAACAAGTGCTATCTGAATTCTAATTCCAGTGCTTCTACCCTCCCAGTCTCTTGTCACCATTTTATCAAATATTAATGCTGTGATGGAGTCCTGGTGTGGCACTATAGGATAAGCACTCAACTGCAGTGTTGGTTTGAACCGAAAGGTCAGCGGTTCAAATCCACCAGTCCCTCCTCAGAAACCCTCAATGGAGTCGCTTAGAGTTGGAACTGACTCGATGGCACTTAACAACAGTGCTGTGATGAGATGTGATTAACAGAACTTATGGAACCAGAGAACTACTGGACTCTGCAGTGTCTCTGTTTGTTGTTGTTGTTGTTATGTGCTGTGGAGTCGGTTCTGACTCATAGCGACCCTGTATAGGGTTTCCAAGGATGTAAACCTTTATGGGAGCAGAAAGCCTCATCTTTCTCCCACAGAACAGCTGGTAGTTTCGAACTGCTGACCTTGCAGTTCGCAGCCTGATTCATAACCACTACGCTACCAGAGTTCCTTTATGTGTCTGTTTAGACAGGAGAATAGGAGTTGAGGGAGGAGGGGTTAGGTTTCAAGAACTGAAAAATAATAATTACTAGCTTTGTACCAAGAAGATTGGCAGGCCAATAGATAGATATATAGTGGGGGCAACAACACTAGTGAGGTATGCACACCATGGAGTGGTCAATTATTTAAGATCAAAAGGACAGCATTTACCTACGGACAAAATTCAGAGGTGTTGGGAAGAAGGTTGAAATAGAAACAAGAATCACAGGGATAAGTGATGTTACATTTATTACAGTCATTGAAATGAACCAAAGTATATGATTCATTGAATGTAAAAGTGATCATCTGCTCTGTAAACCTTGCAAGAGACCAATGATTAAAAAAAAAAAAAAAAAAAAAAAAAAGGAAGAAGAAGAATGGCAGGTTAGGGAATTCTCCAGGGGCCCTAGGCTAAGAAAGGAGATTGCCAAGCACTTGGGGTGCGGGGTGGAGGGTAGCTGCATTACTCAACATGCAGCTTCCACAGAGTCACTGCATACTGACTAGTGAATTAGCTGCGGTATAGTGTCAGTATTCAGTTCATTTCCAAAAGGATTTACTGGATACTTATTTTATACCCAATGATTATATCAAGCTCTTCTGAGGACAGAGATGTTTAAGGCTTATTTCTCCTTTCTAGGGACTACTCAGAGATTAATACAGGGTTTTCCCAGTACTCTTAGGAGAGCCCCACATTTCTGTCAACAAAGGTGTTATTATGAGTTGACTGTTGAATTGATTTTGACTGTCTGCCTTTGTAGTGTCCACCTGTGACAGAGTAGAAGGACTCTATAGGGTTGTCTTTATGGGAACAGATCACTAGATCTTTCTCCCACAGAGCCACTGGGTGAGTTTGATCTTACAATTAGTTAGCAGCCCAGTGCTTAACTGTTACACCACCAGGGTCCCTTTAAAACCACTGCCATTGAGTCAGTTACAACCCATAGTGACCCATTATAGGGTTTCTGAGACTAAATATTTTCAGGAGCAGACAGCCTCACCTTTCTACAGCAAAGTGACTGGTAGGTTTGAACTACAGAGCTTCTGGTTAGCAGGCTAATGCCCCACAGTATCAACGAGGGCTCCTTTGTTATTGTTGTGTGCCATCAAGTTCATTTCAACTCATAAAAACCCAATAGAAGGGTTCTGAAAGTAACTGATGGGTTTGAACTGTCAACCTTTTGGATAGTTGTTGTTAAATGCCGTTGAGTCGGTTCTGACCCATAGCAACCCTGTATAGGGTTTCCAAGGAACAGCTGGTTAGTTTGAACCACACACCTTGTGGTTCAAACGACTTTGCAGTGTAGCGCATTAGCCCACAGCGCCACACCAGTACTCCTTTTGGATAATAGTCCAGTGCTTATCCTATAGCACCATACTAGGGCTCCTTTGTTGTTGTTAATTCCATAGAGTTGGTTCTGAATGGTAGCGACCATGTATAGAGTTTCTAAGGAGTGACTGGTGAGTTGGAATTGCTCACCTTGCAGTTACCAGTCCAGTACTTATCGTACAGCGCCACACCAGGACCTCTTTACTGCCCAGTCAATTTTAACTCATGGTGACCCTATATATGGTTTCCAAGGAGTGGCTGGTGAGTTTGAACCACTGACCTTGTTCAAACCGACTGTATAGTCCAATGCTTTATCCCACAGCGCCACACCAGGGGTCCTTTAATGGTTCTTAAATGGCAGGGGAAAGCCTGTGGAAAGGGTGAGTAGTTTGAATAGAATATCAGGCTCATTGTACTATTCACACACACACACACACACACACACACGATGAGAGATCAGAATCATAGGTGAAGGAGACAGAAGATAAAGGTAACCTAAGTCAGATGAGGGAGCCCCTGGGTGTGGCAAATGGTTAACATGCTCAGATCCTATCCAAAACATTGAAGGTTCATGTCCACCCAGAGGTACCTCAGAAGAAAGGTCTGGCAATCGATTTCTGAAAAATCAGCCATTGAAAACCACCCTAGGGAGTACAGTTCTACTTTGACATACATGAGATCACTAAGAGTTTGAGTCAACTTGAGGGCAATTGGTTGTTAAGTAAGATGATAATTACCCTGCCAAGGACTAGGTCCAGAGAGTGTTCTGGGAGTAAGGTTGGTGGGATAGGAGATGATGCCAGCAGAAAATCTGAGAAGGAAAGATGGATATGATTAGAGGATAGAGGCCTCGAAAGGATTTGGTGTGTGGATCCACTCCTGCTATAATATTCCCTGTGTCTGGTATAGCACAAGGAGCAATAGGATCGACTTAGGAAGGTTTGTGGTTCAATGGGAAAAGGCTCTGGGCAAGTTACTGAAACTGTGAGCCTCAGTATTGTTATGTGTAAAATGGGACAGTAAAGTTCTACATGTGTGACAGGAGAGTTTTGAGTGTTATCAGGCCAAAATGTGTTTAAATTATGTGAAAGGACTTGGCAGCTTGTGCTGTATCTGGTGATCTGCCAGATGTTCAAAGGAAGTCACGTACAGATCTTCATTGAGCTTCCCACTTGGATAGATCTGAGCTTGATTTCTGTGAATCTATATCATCACTCTTATGTGCAGATTTTGATATTGCTTAATCTCTCATTCCTGGTGTGGTGTTGTGGATGAATGCACTGGACTGTAAAGTTTGAACTTCAAGGTCAGCAGTTCAAGCTCACCAGCTGCTCCTTAGAAACCCTACACAGGGTCACTACGGGTCAGAACCGATTGGATGGTACTTAGCAAACAACAAAATAGGGATGCTTTGAGGTTACCAAGGGTACAAAAGATGGGAAAGTTTTTCACAGGCATAAGGGTAGAGACACATGTTAACTTGATTGATGGGAAAGGCAATAAATAGGAAGGTTGGCAGAGGAAAGATGAACGTAACAGAAGTCACTAGGAGAAATGCAAGAGTTAAAGTGAATAGAGGTATATACTGTTTACTGATGGCATATAGAAGGGATTGCAATAACTGTAATGAAACGAAGTATATGATTTGTTGAATTTAAAACTGATGATCTGCTTTGTAAACTTTTAATCAATTCACAATAAAAAGTTTTATAAATAAATAATAAAATGGGGATGCTAAGAATGTACTTATGGCTTGTTTGCTTCCTAGAGGTCTGTGTATTTAAGTTTCATGAAAAAAAAAAAAAAAAAAAACTTTTAAGTCTTGTTGCCCTATGTGATCCTAGCATTGTTACAATGATGTCTGGAATACAGATGGTATTCGATAAACAGTGTTTGACTGGTCAGATGAATAAATAAATGAATACGGAGTCGTTGAAGTTTGTAAGTGGTACAAATGAGTAGTGTACTTGACCTAAAGTTTGGCAGTTTAAATCCACCCAGAGGTACCTTGGAAGAAAGGTCTGGCAATCTACATCCAAAAGAGCAGGCATTGAAAACGCTATGGAGCACAATTTTACTGTGACACACATGGGGTCATCATGAGTCCAAATCTGCTCAATGGCAAATGTTTTCTGCTTTTCTTTTTTAAACTTACCAAGAGGTGTGTTACAATGATGGGAGTAATATTTCTCAGATCACTCTTAGAACCTCATGTCTCCCTCTATTTCTTGCAGGACTCGGGTCAAGCTAGAAAGCCTGGAAGATGCCTACATTCTGCGAGGAGATGATGACTCCCTCTCTGACAAGCATGGTTGCCCAGCTTACGTAAGCCCAGAGATCTTGAACACCAGTGGCAGCTACTCGGGCAAAGCAGCTGACGTATGGAGCCTGGGAGTGATGCTGTATACCATGTTAGTAGGGCGGTACCCTTTCCATGACATTGAGCCCAGTTCCCTCTTCAGCAAGATCCGTCGTGGCCAGTTCAACATTCCAGAGACTCTGTCACCCAAGGCCAAGTGCCTCATCCGAAGCATTCTGCGGCGGGAGCCCTCAGAGCGGCTGACCTCCCAGGAAATTCTGGACCATCCTTGGTTTTCGACAGATTTTAGCGTCTCGAATTCAGGATATGGTGCTAAGGAAGTATCTGATCAGCTGGTGCCGGATGTCAACATGGAAGAGAACTTGGACCCTTTCTTTAACTGAGTTCCAGCCCTCCAGAGACTAGGCATTTTGCAGGTACCAGGAGCGAAAGAGAGCATCGGGAAGGAGTTCTTCCGAGGAAGAACACACATCGCCCACTTGGTAGCAAGAAAGACATTTATACTCACAGTTTCTTGGTTCAAAGAAGGAAAACCTTCAAGGAGCTGACTAAACATGTAGCATGGGGGCAAGAGACACATGGTGGGATTGGGCTGTGTGGTCAGGTCGTGTCTGATGGGTGGAATTAAAGCTGCAGGAACCACCCTGGAGCTTCTCTTCCCGGATGGAAACTAAGAGACCACCCCTGCCGGTTGGGCTGCTTCCGCCTGCCCCACTTATTGTTTTGTTCAAAAATAGTTGTAGATCCTGACAGAATGGAAACTCTCTGCCTCAAACACACATCTTGGCATCGCACTGTTAGCATTTAACTTCTTGTCATGATTCAGGGCAGGTACAATTGGCCAAGGATTTTTTTTCTTCTTCTTCTTTTTAAAACAAGCCAACCACCTATCTGGTCATTAATGGGGTTCATTTAAAATAATTCGGTGCACACAGACTGACACGCAACCTGGGTGCTAAACTAAAAGAAAACAAAAAGTCCAGTTTGTGTCTCTCTTAATTGCTCTCATCAGATCATTTCTTCTAAATAAACTATTTAATATCCTGGTCAGGAAATAACATGTTAATGCTTTGCTCCCTGAAGGGGAAAAATCTGTCCTTTAACAAGCTATTCTGTTTTGTGTCAATTGGTTTGTGGCAGGAAGCTATTAGAAGCCAAACTTCCAGATGCATTACTGCTATCATAGTTTAAAGTGGAGAAGAAAAAAAGGAAGAAGAAAGCAAAGAGAAATTCAACTCGTTCCTTATTATTATTATTTTTTTTCTCTTGAATGGAGATGGTTTGAATTACAGGCATTCCTCTTTGTTGTGATGATAAAATGGCATGAGATAGTAGTCTTGCTCATGGAGTCTTAAGCTTTTGCAACACTCTGATCTCAACTAAATATTTTGGCTTTGTTTTACTGGAAACTAGTGAAACAGTGCAGGTTGTCCCACATAAAATACAGGGCAGCTATTTAGTTTTTTAATTTTTTTTTTTTTTTTTTCCACAAAGAAAGAATGAATCTTTTAGCTTGGAAGGCCCTCTGGTTTGGAATAAACCTTCAGTAGAGACAGTGGGAAGGATAATAAGCTGAAAGCTAGGATGATATAAATACAAACAGCTCTCTCCCAATACGCACCTTTGTATTTTCAAGAACTCTTCTATTTATTAAGGAAAATGTCACATTGTGATGTATTAAGCCAGTACTTCAATTACGGGTTGACTTGGGATGACATGTTACATGCTGTAGTTAACATTTATAGTTTTTTTTTTTTTCTTGTTTGAGTATTTCTGTCCCTGAAATAACCTTTTATTTGGCTTTTCTAGATAGCTTTATTTGATTTCGAGTGGCAAATGTTTTTATTACTGCTTTTCTATTGCTGTATGATACAGAAATCTTTTAGCATCAATATTTGTGTTTCCAGTACCTCAGTTGTTTGGATTTCACTGCCTGTATATGTTTTGTGAAATGGTCATGTTTTTGGGTAGGTAACACGTGGACTCTAGTATGTAAATGTTACTTGAATCTGTGCTTAATTCTAGTATGTGGCATGTATGTGCAGACCATTGGATGCTTTATTACCTGCTCAGCAGGAGCCATGTTGTTCGTGTTCCCAGGAGGGCGGCTTGACCGTTCATAATCAGGAGACAAGGCGGCCATGGATTTGCCCTTGGTTCTATTTTGATAATGGAAGATTTAAAGGAAAGAGGTTTATTTACATTCTGAAGATGGTGCTGTGTCAAGAAGGACCTTTTTTTTCTTCCCCTCTCCCCTATTTTCTAAGTACCTTGTAGGAGGAAAGATTGGTGATGTGCATGGTGGGGATCTATGGCCTCTGGTGCTTTGTCATGTATTTGGTTTAATGTTTTTGTCCTAATCTCTTCAATAAATAAAATTGTGCGTATTTAACTAAAATCCTGGGGTGTGGAAAAATGGTTATTTCCTAACAATTGGTTTGTGCCCAGCCCACCACAGGTAAGAATTCATCCATTCTCTTAAGCATTCACTCTTTCAGGGAACGACTGCTACTGTTGTTAAAAAATGAAAGCTGTCTTTCATTATTTATGGGTATATGCTAGCTGATTTAGATATAATATCTCCCTTAATTGATGTTTTTAGGAAGTCTGTTTTGTTGTTAGCTGCTGGCGAGTTGGCCCCTGACTCATGGTGACCCTATGCACAGTGGGGCAATGTGCTGCCTAGCCCTGTGCCATAATCAGTTACAGATCAGACTGTTAGGGTTTTCATTGGCTGATACTCAGAAATAGATCACTAGGCCCTTCTTCCTAGTCTCCTAGAAACCTATTCAGCATCGTAGCAACATGCAAGCCTCCACTGGCAGGTGGTTGCTGTGCACATATGAGGTACATTGGTCAGGAATTGAACATGGGGCTGTTGCATGGAAAGTAGGAATTCTATACCACTGAGTCACCAATACCTTCTAAAATGAACTAATTATGCTTCTATTACAGATTTGGAAACAAGCCCAGAAAGGTTCAGGACTTGTCCAAGGTTAAACAACCTGCAAACGTTAAGAGCCACAACTGAATCCCAAGTGTGTCTGATCCCGAAGTTTGTTACTCTTTCCTTTATGTTAAAACCTAGAAGCTCTCAGGAAGTTTACTAATCCCTCTATTTTAGCCAGGCTTACTTAGAGCTCAAGGAGCCCTGGTAGCAAAGTAGTTAAGCATTTGGCTGCTAACTGAAGGTAGATAGTTTAATCCACCAACTGCTACATGGGAGTAAAGCATGGCAGTCTGCTTCCATAAAGATTTACAGCCTTGGAAGCCCTTGGGGCAAGCTCTACTCTGTTCTACAGGATCATTATGAGTCAAAATTTACTTTACAGAAGTGGGACCTTGAGCTCACCAGAATTCCACAGGGACTCATCAGCAAGATCAACATCTGCACACCAGAGTAGAAAGGTCCAAGGCGAAAACCACCCAACTCTCAGCAACTAGGCTTCACCCCATCACCCTTCTCTCCAATTTTGTTAAGTGCTGTCGAGTGAGTTCTTACTCTTAGCGACCCTGAATAGTGTTTTCAAGGAGCGGCTAGTGGGTTTGAACTGCCAACTTTGTAGTTAGCAGTCCAGTGCTGATCCTACAGCACCACACCACAGAATTTAGATGTCAGATCTAGATGGGCTGTACAGACAGAAGTAACTACAAGCTGAAAATGTTCTTCACTTTTGGTTTTCTGACAACATAATACTACTGAAACTGCCCTTGGAAATTTACTGTTTATCTCTTTTGATCATTTCTTCCTGTGGATTTAGTTTCTCTGTTCAAAAGCAAGTTTTAGAGTCTCTTCTGAAATCTATTTTGGTCTTTTCTGTCTTTTTAATGACCTTTAGCATATTTTATATATAATGTTCTTCATGCCATCTCACAATTCTTAGGGTCTTCAGTTATTAGTGTATAATACATCAAATCTGTTCTTGAGATGGTTTCTATATTCAAGTGGGGTCTACTGAACGTCATTTTTGGATCTGGGGGACTTGATTTAATTTTCTCCAGCTTCAGCCTGAAATTGCCTATGAGCAATTAATAGTCTACTGCATGGTTGGCCCCTGGCCTTGTTTTGTCTGATGATACCAAACTCCTCCATCATCTCTTCCCACAGATGTAGTCAATTTGATTGCTGTGTATTCCGTCTGTGGAAGTCCAGATGTATAATTGCAGCTTGTGTTGTTAAAAAAAAGTATTTGCAATGACTAAGTCATTGGTATTGCAAAATTCTGTCATGTGATCTCCAGCATTGCTTCTGTCACTGAGGTCATATTTTCCAACTAGTAACCCTTTCTGTTTCCAACTTTTAACATTCCAATCACCAGTAATGATCAATGTACCTTTATTGCATGTTTGATCAACTTCAGACTGAAGAAGTTGGTAAGATTCTCCAATTTTTCTTCAATGAATTTAATGGTTTATACATAAATTTGCATAATAATGGAAATAACTGGTCTTCCTTACATGATTATGGATATTGTTTTATCACTGACAACTTTGTACTTCAAGATAGATCTGAAAATGTTCTTTTTTATGATGAATGTGATGTCATTCCTTTTCAATTAGTCATTCCCAGCATATGATATGATTATCTGATTCAAACTGGTCAATACCAGTCCATTTCAGCTCAACCATTGCCTAAGCATTCCATTTCATTTGTTAATGCCTTCCAATTTTTCTAGATTCAACTTAATGCATTCCACTTTCTGATTATTAATGTGTGCTTGCAGCTATTCTCATTTTGAGTTGTGCCCCATCAGCAAATGACAATCCCAAAAACTTTGCTCCATTCACATCATTAAGGGAAACTACTTTGAGGAGGGAGCTCTTCTTCAGTTGTATTTTGAGGGAAATGTTTCACAATGATTCATAAGGTTTTAAGAGGCTAACCTTTCAGAAGTGATCTGCCTCTCCTTCATAGTCTTCATGGAAGCTCTGCTGAAATGTGCCTACCAGAGGCTTCTGGTATTTAAAATATCTGGCATAGCTGCCAAGAGCACAGCAACCCAAACCTCCACAGCATGACAAACTGACAGAGGAGTGGTGAAGTTACAGTCATGAGGTTTAATTTGAGACAGGAAAGGTTTAGCCAGCATTGCTCTGTCAGTTTCACTATTAGGTGAGGAGCTAGATGAGGAAGCAGAAAAATGCAGTGCGTTGAATTGGGTGAATACAGGATCCAGTGCAAGACCATATATAGGCACCTTATGTCATCTAGGACATTCAGGAGATGCCTTGGAGGGGTCGCACCTGAGTCGGAATCCAGAAAGACAAATGATCTAGAGACTGAACTAAGAAACAACAGTAGCACTCTAGGCAGAGGACTCTGTGTGTGAGGAATATTTAAGATTCGCCCAGGTTAACAGCATTCATGCCAAGTTGTGAGTGGAGATCATCAAATTCCATTCAAAAGAATGGAGATTGTAGTATATGGGAGGGCATGGCTAAGGAGGTTTCATCGTCTGTTGGCTCAGTCTTCTAAATTAATAGTGTTTACCATTCAAAGACATCACCTCCATATAGTATCTGTAGCACCTTGCCCAGTGGCTGGCACCTGACCTGGTGCTCAGGTTTCTGCTGGTAGATCTCTGTAAGTTGGTGCTTAGTAAATAGCTGTTAATTGATGTTTGATTTGTGCCAGAAGACTCTGCTGCTAAGTTTCCTTCCAATCCCAGTTTTCTAAGATAAACATCATTAGAGAACAGCCTTTGCAAGTATTGAAGCCTACCAGAGTCTCTTTTCTGGGGTGCATATAGGCTGATCCAATTTCTTTGCTCTTTCACTGCCTGTGATTAAGCCGAAATGGGCCTGCTGCCTAATGAATGCCTGCTTGAATTGTGTTCTATCAAACCTTCGCATGTGTGGTTGCTGGGGAAAGGGAGTTGTTGGCACACATACTCCCAGCCTTTATATAATGAGCTTCCACCTTGGTGGGAACCCAGAATCAGCAAGCTCCCTCCTGTACTGTTGAAAGGCTCAACCAATTGAAACTGTTTGCTTCTCTAATCCTTTTGGGGATAGCTACTTCAACTCCTTCCTGCCTCAAATCTGG